CTCCAATTGGAGACCTTAATTGAATATAGGTTCTTTAAAACTAGGAAGCATAGTTTACAGTTTAAAAATATTGAATGAGAGGGGTTTGCAAAATTGTTGACCCGGTTAAAATCGGGTGACTCAACTCCAATTGGAGACCTCAATTGAATATAGGTTCTTTAAAACTAGGAAGCACATTTTATAGTTTAAAAATATTGAATGAGAGGGGTTTGCAAAATTGTTGACCTGGTTAAAATCGGGTGACTCAACTCCAATTGGAGACCTCAATTGAATATAGGGTCTTTAAAACTAGGAAGCATAGTGTTATAGAGGATTTCTTAAGACGGGGGAGTTCTCCTTCTGAATTGGTTAACATACCTTCATGTTTGTTAAGATAGTTGCCAGTCTTTTTTCCCCTCAATTTTTTAATAAAATAATTGACATTCCAATAGACTTAGCAAGTGTTTGATGGTTGGAAACTGAAGTGTGATTCGAGTTCTATGACTACATGTGTTTCATCACATTTTTCACATGCATTTCTCGCTACGTCACAACCAACACCTATAACATTTGTTAGCTTTAGACTGTAGACTGTAGTTTATATTCACAATCTTTTAGTAACCACCCAAAAAACATAGTACATGAATGAATGCTAAACTCACACTTGTAGAATGACACCCCCATCCTATATATATGTACGTTTTGAGGAACTTCCCTCTTGATCGAGAGAGATAGTCCTTTCCGTTGTGTAATGTCGGGCTTACATTTAATTCAATGTATTTGTGAGCTTTGAGATATTGGAGGTAAACAAAGAAAAAGAAGGAATTGCATTCTTCCCTCAACGTTGCTATACACATGACGTCTATGCACGATTTATGGACGATACTAATAATCAAGCCGTTGGTGTCATCAAGCCTCTTTGCAGGACACCGTTCGATTGCACATGGTGCATGCATCGTCCATTCACCAGTCGTCCGCGAAGTAGTTTCGTTCTTCCCTTGCTGCGTTAGTGGTGCCATCCAACTTGCTACTTGTGCTGCATCGCCGACCTCTTTCCATGAGATTGCAATGATTGTCTGTCCGCGTGGAGACGGGTATAGCATACTAAACAACCCCACAAAGTACATCGTTTTGCATTGCCTAGATACCAAGCTATTGGACACTTCTTCATTGGAGCTATTGTCATTGTGCATCTCGTGAAGATTCAGTCTTTTTCTCCGGCGGCTCTGTTGTTCTTAACCCAACACCCTCCAATCGGCGTCATTGCGCACTCCTCGAAATTAATGAAGCAATGGAATTCCTGCTCTCGGTAGTTTTCTCGTTTCTTTTTTGTGTGGCTCAAGATTTGTAAAGGAATTTGAGACGCTCATGTTCTATCCCTTGGAGTGGAGCGAAGAGAAGTACATTTGGACTAAAACTTTCAGAGAGAAAATGTATGAGGTTGCTTTACCCCAAATAAAATTCTACTAGTACGTACGTACTAGAGATAGTTCATATGTTCTTCATCAAAAAATGTATGGCCCAGAGTCACGGGCGCGGTTGCTCTCACTCTCGGAGCTCTCTAGTCAACGGGAATCCTGATCCCAATCCAACGCAAGTGGTCACTGTTGCCAGATACCCGTCCAGGTTCAGAGCACGCACTACTAATACAGAGCGGCAGCGTCTCTGTTCCTGCACACACTCTCCACGACACCGTAAACCCCGGCCCCTCCGGCGATTCCCCACTCTCTCAGCCCCGATCCACTCCGCCGCCGCGCCAGCTCGCCATGGCTGCCGCCGACGAGGCGCAGGGCTTCCGCCCGCTGGACGAGGCGTCGCTGGTGGCCTACATCCGGGCGACCCCGGCGCTGGCCGCCAGCCTCGGCGGCCGCGTCGACGACCTCGCCGTCAAGGAGGTCGGCGACGGCAACCTCAACTTCGTCTACATCGTCTCCTCCGACGCCGGCTCCGTCGTCGTCAAGCAGGTCCGTCCCCCGTCCCCCTCTCCCCCCTCCCCGTCCCATCCGGCTCTGACTCTGATCGGAATCAGGCGCTGCCGTACATCCGCTGCGTGGGGGACTCGTGGCCGATGACGAGGGAGCGGGCCTACTTTGAGGCCTCCGCGCTGCGGGAGCACGGCCGCCTCTGCCCGGACCACGTCCCGGAGGTCTACCACTTCGACCGCGCCATGTCGCTCATCGGGATGCGCTACATCAAGCCGCCCCACATCATCCTCCGCAAGGGCCTCATCGCCGGCGTCGAGTACCCCCTCCTCGCCGAGCACATGTCCGACTACATGGCCAAGACCCTCTTCTTCACCTCCCTCCTCTACAACTCCACCACCGAGCACAAGAAGCAAGGTCGGCTGCTCTGCTATGCTGAATTCTTCTGCCTGTAAATGGGGGAAAATGTGAAATTTATGGCATGTCTTGATGTGAATTGCAGTTGCTCGCTACTGCGAGAACGTGGAGATGTGCAGGCTCACGGAGCAGGTCGTCTTCTCGGACCCATACATGGTCTCCAAATACAATCGCTGGAACTCGCCATTCCTCGACAAGGACGCCGAGGCGGTGCGAGAGGATGATGGGCTGAAGTTGGAGATTGCTGAATTGAAGTCGATGTAATCGGCTAGCTCTGAATTTATGCAGATTGGTTGGTGCTGCGTATGTTGTGTTTCTTATCTGAATTTTGCACTGCAGGTTTATCGAGAGAGCCCAGGCCCTGATTCATGGAGATCTCCATACTGGTTCCATCATGGTGACCCCAGATTCCACTCAAGTGATTGATCCGGAATTTGCCTTCTACGCGCCGATGGGTTACGACATTGGGGCCTTCTTGGGGAACCTGATTCTGGCGTACTTTGCACAGGATGGGCATGCTGATCAAACGAATGACCGTAAAGTATGTATCACAGTATTATGGCCTTTTAACCATATCTTGCTGGCACCTATTTTTACTTCAATAGTAGAGTATGGCATGCTGTTTCTGTGGTAGGCCTTTTATGTTAACTAATACTCCCTCCGTTCCTAAATATTTTTCTTTCTAGAGATTTCAACAAGTGGCTACATACGGAGCAAAATGAGTGAATCTACACTCTAAAATATGTCTATATACATCCGTATGTGTTAGTCCATTTGAAATCTCTAAAAAGACTTATACTCCCTCCGCCCCGAAATACTTGTCGGAGAAATGGATGAATCTAGACGTATTTTAGCTATAGATACATCCAATTTTATCCATCTCTCCGACAAGTATTTTGGGACGAAGGGAGTATTTAGGAACGGAGGGAGTATGTTTCTTTAATGCGCTCCTGTGTGATTACTGATTACCTTATCCACCATTTACTATTTATTTAGAAATTCTTTATTAGGATAAATGTTTGAAATATGTCTTTTTTGAAAGAAGGCATATACCCAGCTTAAGGAATATGAGGCTCCTCTGTACTAGAAGAATGAATAATTAATACCGTAGGATGATGAAGATGCTGTAGCTATCATATGGCGGAGGGTGGTTGACTGAAAGAGCATATCACCTCAAATAATTGCCTTGTTTGGGATAACCTGCCTTATTATAAGTCCGTAAGCATCTCTAGCATCTTCAGTATTACTTCATGGCTGTTGCAGAAGTGTCAGTTTATGATATAACACATCCTTCCAAGACATATTTCTTCTTGTCCCAGTAATCAAATAGGCACTTTGACTGCCCACCTTTTGCAGGCTTATAAGCAATGGATATTGAAGACCATCGAAGAATCATGGAATTTGTTCCAGCAGAAATTTTTGGGACTCTGGAATAAACACAAAGATGGGAATGGGGAGGCATACCTGCCTGCCATATACAACAACCCGGAGCTTTTGAGCGATGTACAGAAGAAGTACATGACAGGTCTACTTCATGATAGTCTTGGATTTGGTTCAGCCAAAATGATCAGGTAATTACTTACTCAATTTCTGAATATATCAGTTATTTGTTGAATGTAATCTACTCCTGACTACGGTAATACATCAAAGCTTCTCTATAACTGAAACGACTCAGAGGTGTATTAAGCTAGTCCAATGCATAGTTTTCAGATTTCAGTTCTGATATGGCATCCTGTTTCCATAATGCTATGCAGTGACAAATAAGCATAAATAGCTTACAAAATGTACCCTGTTAAGGACTAAAAATCTCATTTGACCCGGAAGACCAGCCTTAATGATTGCAGCACAAAACAAAAATTGATCAAATGTGCTTCAGGAATGCTATGCAGTGAAAAAAATAAGCATAATAGCTTACCAAATGTACCCTGTTCAGAACTAAAAATCACATTAGACATTGATTTCATACTGCGCACATATTCTCGTGTCTTATGCATGCTGGACTCTTGACTAAAAATCATCGACTTTTGTTGCCTATACTCTCTTCCCTGTGCAGGAGAATTGTTGGAATTGCCCATGTCGAGGATTTTGACTCAATTGAGGATGCCAGCAAGAGAGCATCATGTGAGCGCCGTGCGCTTGATTGTGCCAAGGCAATCCTGAAGGGGCGACGCCAATTTGAGAGCATCGAGCAGGTTATTGTGCATGTCCAATCAGTAAATCATGACTGAGAAAACCAGCCGTCTGTTCTGCGTTTCCAGTTGAGGAGACCTCGGTTGATTGTTATTGGGATTGAGTACCCACGCTCAAGTATCGAGATGTGCTGCTCTTTGTAAAACATCCATGGGTCAGTGTGGCTTATATGTATTGTGTAGTGGGCTGCCTTCAGAGATACCTATACTTGGGTCGAGAACATCCTGTGTGTATTTCTAGTGCAAGGCAGGCTGCCTTGCAGCATAGCTGCGAGTTGAATAACAGAATGTACAATGTATCTCAACGTTGTACAATTATCCATAGATACAGGCGCGGTCGCCACCAATAAAACCCTATCTGGGGTAAGGGTTTGGCCAAGCTGATTGTTTGTACTGTAACACCTGTTGGTTGATGTTAGCCTGGCTAAATTACACATTTATATTTGAGAAATATAAAAAGAAGAGCACAAAAAATAACCAAGATAATGATAAATATTAGCACATTCACAGGAAGCTGGCATGGATTCATATAATATAGGTCTAGCCAACATAAATTCTGATAAACTTACTCATCTCCTACCAAATACGTACTTAGCATCCAGTGCAATGGCACTGGAGGCTTTGGCGATCAAAGATGGGGTGCAGTTGGCTTTGTGACCTCGGCCTGCACAAAGTTATTATTGAATCTGATGCTTTGCAGATAGTGAATATGTGGAAAGCAAAATCATATGATCGATCAGAGATTGCAGCGACACTGTATGAAGTTCTGGAGCTTACTGCTAACATGGAACACTTCCAACTTCAGTTTACTAAGAGAGAAGCAAATGAGCTCGCACATCTTTGCGCAAAGCAGGCTAATCCAGTTAGACGTAGATGTTTATGGATTAACTATGTTCCTGTGTTCCTTGTAGCTTGTATCAGCAAGGACAATGCTTGTGTTTAATATATACAGGTTTTTACCCCGCAAAAAAAAAAAAAGACACATGGTCAGGCAGGGAGGTAAATTGTTCTGCTCTTCGTTCCCAAACCGTTGCCTTTGTTTACGTCTCCACCCGCCTTCGGATGGTGCACGATCAAACATCAGGAGCTAGGATTTTACCACCGAAGAGATGTTCTCCAGTAATAACCAAGCTGAACTACTGAATCCACCCGACAAATCCAAAGCTTGACAAGGAACCACACCTCCGGAATCCAAGCTTGACAAGGGATTTTATGAGAGAACCCAAGCTCATTGACACTCCAGATCCATGCTGCCTCCAAGGCTTTACTGGCTCTAAGACACCATTTGCCCGGAACTAACTATCGCTGACTGAATTTAACACTAGAATTTCAGAGATTCAGAGGAAGTTTGGCTTGATTTGCTAGGTTTATATTGCCAAAGGGCACTAGAAGCTAGGGTTACAACCCAATCACAACATGATAGTCCAAAACGGAAGGAAATGGTGGTTTTATAGCCATTACACCCAGCGCCCAGGTGAAAAGCAGGCCAAAAGAAATAAAAACTGGAAGCTGCATTCCATTACCACTTTGATACTCCTACCTGTGGTGAAAAGAATGATTTTTTTTTAATTTTCAATTGCAAGTGCTCAGTTTTAACTTAGTTACAACATTGTAAGTGACTTGAATATGAAGAGCTTGTACTTGACCAAACTGCTACTCCCTCCGTCCCATAATATAAGATTGTTTTTTACACTACACTAGTGTAAAAGACGCTCTTATATTATGGGACGGAGGTAGTCGTATTTTACTATTTTTGTTCATTACCAAACTGTAGTTACTTGAAATCAACTCTGGAAACTGAACCGGTATTACTATATACCATATGATCTACTTAGTCTTGTTTCTACCTAGAAGATTGGATTGGATTCTTCAGCTAGCACAACAGTTCAAAATTAACATCAAACAATTATATGGTCAGCAGCAAATCTGAATACTAGATGCAAATGGTCCAGAATAACACCAGGGAGTTAAAAATTAGGGTACGTTTCATCATACAATAATATCGATTATTTAAGCTGACTTAGCACTGGAAGAGTCAGTACTCCTTGCTGTAAACAGGGAGCAGTAACGCTACACTGATAGATAGCAAATTAAGTGCCATAATGCATGCCTGCATACACTAGCTAAAGTTGAGAATGACTAGCTGAATCATTCAGAGCACCTCCTCGATCCTCTGATGGTTGTTGAACATGTAACGACCGGATTTGTGCTTGATCATACGGAGGCCACGGATCAGCCCTTTGCCTTTGCCTTTGCCGCCATTCTCGCTGCCACTACTGTGGTCATTGTCTTTGATGGCACCATTTCTGCTATTCTTGCCTTTGCCGTTGCCGTTGCTGTAGGCTACTTCCATACCAGTGAAGAGGGCGAATTGCTTTTCAAGACACATCTCGTTGGATTCCTTGTCGAATTGCATGTCATCCAAGAAGTCCACGACCATGAACTTGCCAGAACCAAGGCTGATGACCCTGGGCTTGAAAAATTGGTTTGGCTGCCACTCCTCTGGCAGGTCATCGTGCACCCAGATCCGCATCTTCTCTGGCGGCGGCTCCTCCCCTCCGACGACGCCAGAGAGGTCAGCAGCGCAGGGGAGGCCGTCTGCGACACCGAACCAGAGTCCAAGCTCAGGGACGTAATCTGCCTTGCCATGGAAGGGCATGAGCCAGTCGCCAGCTTTGCTCCACTGGCGAGTCGCCATGTGGAAGCAGTAGGTGCCATCGCCCTCTGGGCCAGAGATGGAGAAGCAGATGGTGTCGCCGACGAGGGCGTGACCATAGACGAAGTCATTCCTGTGTTGCGTGATCCACGGGGGCAGCGGGAGGATGTCGCAGTGCCAGAACCTGTGAGACACGAGGGACGTGGTGATCCCCCTCCACACCAGGGCCTCGAACTGCGGGCGTACGTCCGCCTTGTTGGGATGGAGGACGCTATCGATGATGTAGAGGTCGCCTGCGTCTTCGCCGTCAAGGAGGTGTAAGTTCGTGGGAGGGACGGAGATGGTCAGCGGCGCCTCCTTGTACCCGTGGAGGCTTGGCATGGAATCGATGTAGCGGGAGTGCCTGGGGACTTGGCCGTCCTGGGTATCGTTGTAGTGGGGGCTATTGACGATGTTGAAGCGTATCATGCGGTTCCCGCGGTCGACCATGACAACCTTGCTCTCCGAGGCGGTTGGCAAGAAATGAACGCAGCGAGGAGACCGGATGGAGTAGGAGACTTCCGGTGGCTTTATGACCAGCTCGGTTTTTGGCGGATCGATCTTGGGCGCCGCCGCCTCCGCCGTCGCCAGATCGGTGTTGCAGATCCTTGTCCTGCTGGTGGCCTCGGCCTGGGCTGGCGTCAGTGTTGGCAGCACCTTGCCATGAGCGGCCGCCTCTTGTGCCGTCGGGTGGAAAAACTTCACCTTGGAGAGCTCCAGGTTCAGGCGCCGCAGCGAATACGCGCGTTTGACCCCTTCGAACAACCCCAGGTTCAGGATCCGCCGCATGCTGCCGCTCATCCTCCTCCCTCTGACGATCACCTGCGCCTGCGATGGAGGGTAACAAGTAGTAGAATAAGGACAAGCAAATCGAAGCAAGTTGACACAGATCTACAGGCGGCGGCGGAGAACCTGGAACAGAGCGGCGGCGGAGAACCTGCTCTGTGCAGAGCGGCGGCGGCGGCGGCGGTGGGAGGGAAGGAATAGGAATGTGAGGTAGGTCTAGGTCTTCTTGGTCTTGGTCGTCTCGCCTTATCATCACGGACCATCATGGGCTGGGCCCGATGCTTTCCTTATATCAATTATATATGGGCTGCCATAACGCCTGAAGGCATTACATGGACCGGCCCATTTACCTCGTTACCTACTGCGCCCGTTCCAAAAGGAAACCCCTTATAAATAATTGTAGAAATAACTAAAAATCTCTATCTCTTTTTTTTTACCTCAAAAAACCTCTTTATTCAATAGATAATAATGTTACATCATTCACCATGAGAGGTACAATAGAGGGGGGAGGATCATCCATCCAAACCCTACTAGTCTAGAATTTAACTAACTGGGCCAGTTCATGGGCTACAGAATTTGTTTCCCTATTCACATACTCATACTTAACCCTAACAAAGTCTGACTCCATAGAAATACAATCATGATAAATCGCTACAGCAGTAGGCCTCTCGTTCTTCATAATTTCTATTAATTCACTATTATCAAAACTCACAACAACTCTATTACAACCCATGGATTCAGCTAAGAACAAGCCGTGTTTGAGCGCCAAAGCTTCAGCCGACAAAACATCTTGAACCACATCCAAACGTGCATTACACGCGGCAATGAACTTTCCCTTTTTATCACCAATGCCTGCACCCGTAGTTCCCCTCAGAATGTCGAGGTCAAAGGAAGCATCAACATTTATCTTGACACAATCACCTGTTGGAGGAGCCCATCTCTCCTTTCTCACCCTGGCATTAGGAACGGTAGCAGAACTAAAAATCTCTATCTCTACTACACGAAAGAAACGTAAGGTTCCGTTTCCCCTCTTAAGTTCTCCAACCCCCTTCGTACGACCCCCCCTCCCCTCTAGCGATTTTTTTTTCTCCCCACCGGTGTTCTCCCTCTGCCGATTTTCTTTTCTCCCTCCAATTGACTCTATCTTTGGTACTACCTCTCTCTCAGTTTACAGGGCGTGCGCGTACCCCTAGGTCGTTAATTTGACTAACCTAATACAAGTCATATATTACAAAAAAATATACCAACATAAACTTCGGAGTTTCTACTTTCAAAAGGTATAATTTTTTTGTTATATAGTTTATATTAGGGTGATAAAATTAGCAACCTAGGTATACGCGCAGGACTTGTAAACTGAAACGGAGGTGGTAAAGAAATAATTCACATAAGGCAACCAAGCGCAATCAATCAACAATCAATCCAAACGCAATCAATTCATGCATGGCAATCAATGCAGTCATGACGGTGATCAATCTCCTTCAAATGGTGATCAATCTCCTTCTTTCTTTCAATCACTTCCTTTTTTCTATCACCATGGTTTACTTCGCGCCGATGAAAATGAAAATAGTCAGATCAGTCAATATACGTCTGTATACCATGCCAATACAAAATTCCAGCGCTTCTATTTCCCGCCATATACCACTATAAAAATCATTCTGCGTTCTGAACCATGAGTCGTGTTGAAGAGAAATAGGGTCTTGGCGCTCATGGTGATGGGACCCAGGATGGGCCGTCCTGGCTCGAAGAGGGTCATGGCACCACTGCCTGTGAACTTCGTTCCCGCTCCCATTGGCCCTCCACCGCCGATCGCCAGGCAACATTTTATCCATTCCTGCTTTTAGTTATTATCATAAGTAAATATACAGAATTGTGCTCTTTGTCAACCAATTGCAGACATGTAAGGTTCAGCGAAATAGAAAACCTACATATACTAGCTAAGTGTCCGTGCGTTGCCACGGACTAACAAATATATATATATATATATACAAAGAGAAAATTCATGTGACATGAGAGTCAAAGGCCATTTTTATGGGATGATATCTCATGGTCATGATCTAGTAGGTACATACATCTCGTCATTGTCTTTCTTCCACACTCCATGTCTGAGCTACCACGCGACACTCGACTTCCTTCTCCCACCATGCATGCTTTTATCTCCTATTTCTCCTACCTCTACCTTGCACGACAGTACCAAGTTTCTTGTCCAACTATCATAATCTTCTCCGGTAGGGCACCCCCTTAGATTATTACTGACTTGTACATGTTGCAAATAAGATCAACGAAAATGGATACTAAATTTCTGATGAGAAATGAGAATTCAGGGCAATATCTTCCCAAGAAAATAATAATTCCAAGACAATCTTTTTATACCTTCTGTCAACATTGGGACACACATTCCACACAATAAGCATGCAATGATGTTGATACTTGATTAATTGTCAATATATGTCTACAGTAAAGATAACTTTACTCAAAACATGTTTTTCTAAGAAGGAAGGATAATTCATATTAGAAAAAAAATAAAGGTTTGGGTTCATCCCACCAATGTTTCTCTTGTGCAACTCATCTCCGCACCTGCTCACGAGATTGGCCTGTCTCGAGCACACCACTCCCACACACCCTCACAAGAGCGGCACAACCAATCTCTCAGTGCCACTGACACACATGCATGGAGCGCTCACTCCAAGCCTGACTATACACATTCCCACTGTAGACGAATTCAAAGAGAATCAACGGGGCATCATCCACTGCTTTCTCAGGGTCCTATTCATCATGAAATCATAGATCAAGATATTCCTCCCATCCATTTTTTAGGGAAAGGATTTTTCTCGATGTTCCTCTCATCTTCATGGTAGTAATAACCTAAAAACGCCACCAGTCAACTCCGAAGAACATGCAACATTGTGAGAGTCAAAGTCATGGTCAGTCAACTCCGTCAAGAATTTCAAATTATGTGCTATCCAATACGTACTTGTTGCTGATGGAACGACCACATGGATAGCTCCTACAATCTTCATGCAGGTTGCACAAAATTACACCATAGGAGGTTTCAAACCTTCAATGGGCCACCCTTGGCCATCCAGCCGGTGGTTTTCCATCCTTCCTTACGCCTGACGTCTTGTGGAACCAGGCGCATCCCAGATCCACCGCCTTCCATTCAGGTCGCCACATAGAGGGGAAAAATAGAGTAGGCGGTGGCGCGGAGGAGGAGGCGGTGGTTTTCTATGTCACTGGTGTTTGTGTAGTTGTGCGTTGGAACTTCACAACGTGGGGAGGACGAGGAAATGGGAGAGCAAATTGTCGATGGTGGCATGGGAAAAAGAACGCGGTCTGGGAAGGGGGTCGGTGGCTAGAACTTTGGAAAGGAAGGAAACCTGATTGTGTTTCCCTTTATTTTGTATATGAAAGTTATCGTATGGTTCATGTATGACAATAAGTCCTATAAAAAAGAACCAAGGATTGATTGATGATTGTGTTTTATTTCATATGGAAACCGATCTGTCGGGGCTACATGTAAGTGCATCGTGACTAAGGAAGGATCAATAGATTGAATTAGATTAGAAAAAAACCAGCAGGAGGGTGGAGTTATTAATTAAGAAAAAAGTCAGTAGTGGGAGGTGGGATGAAATAAAACCGGACGAAAATAAAACCGGAGTACCAGGCTACCAACTGCTTCATTAGGAGTAGAGATGGAGCAGTTGGTAGTCTTCGCCAGTCAATTTTCGTCCCACCCCCACTAGTTTTTTTTCGTCCTAAAAAATCTATGAAATTTCGTAGGTTACCAGGGACAACTCCCACCTCCCAGTTTTTTTCCGTCCCACTTTCCATGATATTTTTTTGTACCTCGCCCCACCTCACACTGAGCCACCACGAACCGCAAAAACCGCCTACCTTAGCCAAATCAACAAATCTCTCTCATTAATGCAATTTTCTTTAGGAAACAAATAATAGATTATTTCCTACCTTAGCCAAATCAACGGATCTCTTTCATTAATGCAATTTGCTTTAGCAAACAAATAATAGATTCTTTCCTACCTTAGCCAAATCAACGGATCTCTCCCATTAATGCAATTTGCTTTAGGAAACAAATAATAAATTCTTTCCTACCTTAGCCAAATCAACGGATCTCTCTCATTAATGCAATTTTCTTTAGGAAACAAATAATAGATTCTTTCCTACTTTAGCCAAATCAACGGATCTCTTTCATTAATGTAATTTGCTTTAGCAAACAAATAATAGATTCTTTCCTACCTTAGCCAAATCAACGGATCTCTCCCATTAATGCAATTTGCTTTAGGAAACAAATAATAGATTCTTTCCTACCTTAGCCAAATCAACGGATCTCTCTCATTAATGCAATTTTTCTTTAGGAAACAAATAATAGATTCTTTCCTACCTTAACCAAATCAACGGATCTCTTCCATTAATGCAATTTGCTTTAGCAAACAAACAATAGATTCTTTCCTACCTTAGCCAAATCAACGGATCTCTCCCTGGTTCGCTGGGCGCGTTTCGGTGGGTGGGCGTGGGGGTGAGGGTAATTTGATGAAAAAAAACCGGTTGAAAGTGGGGGGGACTATTCAACCAAGTCGTCCATCTCTACTCCTAATGGACGACTTGGTGAATAGTCTGCATGGTTTAATCTCGCTGATTTTTTTTCGTCATCCTCCCACCTCCGATTTTTTTTCGTCATCCTCCCACCTCCCAAAAACCACCCCCACGCACGAACCATTCCCCTCCCTCTCCTCGCGCAAGCATCCTCTCCTCGTACCCTCGCACGCGCTAGGGTTCATGCGCCGCCGGAGCTTGTCGACCAGCCCAACGTCCTCCGGATCGCCGCCACCCCTCTCCGGATCGCCGCCGTCACCGCCGCGGATCGCCACCTTCGCCGTCGGAATCGCTGCCAACGTCTCGTCGCCCCGGATCGCCGCCGTCGCCGGGCCATGGCGGTGGAGGTCGACAGCACCCGGAAGCGCGGGGCGGCGGCCTTCCTGGACGACCCTTCGAGGTGCTGT